AGGCGGGCATCAGAGAGGATCTTGGAGACTTCCTCGATGGTAGTAAGGTCAAAGGTGTGGAGTGTTGGGGGAGCTTCAGTATGAGGAATGTAGGGTGGGGTGGGAGTGGAGGTCAGAGCAGTGGTGGGGCCGTGGGAGAGGGGTGATGAGGGGGTAGCTGAGTGAGGGGGAACGGGGTTGGAGGGAGTTTGAGCAGTGACGAAGTCCCTGCGGGTAATGTCGAGGGGGAGGGGGGATGAGGGGGTAGCTGTGTGAGAGGGACGGGTTGAGAGGGTGTGTGAGTTGTGGCAATGTCCTTGCGAATTGTGTCAATCTTGTTTTTGAAGTGATTGGCAATCTCAAGGGCGGTGAGTGAGGTGCTGGGTGGAGGTGGGGGTGGAGAGAGTAGAGAGTTGAAGGCGGAGAAGAGTCGGCGAGGATTGGAGGAGAGGGCCTTGATGAGGGTCAGGAAGTAGGCTTGTTTGGCTGCGTGGAGGGAGGAGGTGTAGGTGCGAAGGCAGATTTGTAGCAGGTGAAAGCTTGTTGGGATTTTGTTTTGCGCCATAGTCGCTCCAGGGCACGACTGCGTCGTTTGAGGGTTTTGGTGTGATCAGTCTGCCAGGGCTGGAGCGGTCGGAGTCTGATGTTGCGTGTGGTTAAAGGCGCTAGTGAGTCAAGGGCTGCTGACAGCGCGTTGTTGTAGGCAGTCATAGCCAAGTCGGGGCAGGACAGGGGGAGGATGCGGTCGTGGAGTTGATCAGCTGCAGCTACCTCTATGTGATATATGATTACTTACCTCTATGTGATATATGATTACTTACCTCTATGTGATCAATGTCCTCTATGTGATATATGATTACTTACCTCTATGTGATATATGATTACTTACCTCTATGTGATCAATGTCATCTATGTGATATATGATTACTTACCTCTATGTGATCTATGTCCTCTATGTGATATATGATTACTTACCTCTATGTCCTCTATGTGATATATGATTACTTACCTCTATGTGATCAATGTCATCTATGTGATATATGATTACTTACCTCTATGTCCTCTATGTGATATATGATTACTTACCTCTATGTGATCAATGTCCTCTATGTGATATATGATTACTTACCTCTATGTGATCTATGTCCTCTATGTGATATATGATTACTTACCTCTATGTTATCAATGTCATCTATGTGATATATGATTACTTACCTCTATGTGATCAATGTCATCTATGTGATATATGATTACTTACCTCTATGTGATCAATATCATCTATGTGATATATGATTACTTACCTCTATGTGATCTATGTCCTCTATGTGATAGCATATTTATAGTGACAAGTTCTCTTTCAGACATCAGGGGTCTATTAAATTAGGTTCTTAATAGCTAGGAGAGATAAGTGAATAGACTTTTGCTGGTTAGTCTCCCCTGTATCCTGCAACACCTGACATGCAGGTCCTGGGCCCGCAAGTAGGATGACAGAGTCAGGGAAACGTGATGTGGGGGGGGGGGGGGGGAGCGGCATTTCTGGGGGTCCATGGAAGTGATTGGATATCTGCACAGCCACCTGATCGCTTCTATCTGAAATCCAATGTTGCCTTGTCTGAATTTTAAGACCTACGAAAGGGTTGAGGCCCCTTTCACGATTTAGGTTTCCAAATAACTTGGCAATAGCAACAAAACACGCTGCGTGTGGTTGCGTGCCATTATTCTTCAATAACACCCTAAATGCGCCACAATTCTGCTGCACAACAAGATTGCAGAGCAATCTCAGCAAACCATGCCTTTAGATACAAAAATAGTAAAATATGTAAGAATAAAGAAATAAAAGTGTCCGTAACAAAAATATATCTAAATCATATTGATCCTGAAACATATCAAAGTTAAATCAATCATAAAGTCCCCAAAAAATTATTTAGTAGTGAAGATGAAGAAAATTCAATGGAATCCACCAAGTGTATCCACCACCAAATAAACTGAATAAACTCACCAGAGCAATATGCTGATTATGTTATAAACCAGCAGAAGCGCTTTTCTGCTCTGGGAGCAATGATCTGTAGGCTTGGAAAAACCGATCTCCTCTAACCCCAGAGCAATACTCTGCAGGAGACTCTGTGACTCTGTAGATCCACTTCATTCATATCCCATCCTATTCAAAGGGTGTTGGAATGGCCACTCGGAATATACAAAAACAGAAGCTCATGGTGCAGTGACTCCTAAAATCGTTGCTTTATTAAAACTAAACACACTTACAAAAAACGGTGTCCAGACGACACCAGCACAGCCAGCATAATCAGATGCCAATAGACAGACCCAGCCACACCAGAAGAGGATGAGGATGAGGAAGAAGAAGAAGAGGATGAGGATGAAGAAGAAGAAGTGGATGAGGATGAGGAAGAAGAGGATGAGGATGAAGAAGAAGAAGTGGATGAGGATGAGGAAGAAGAAGAGGAGGATAAGGATGAAGAAGAGGATGAGGATGAAGAAGAAGAAGAAGAAGAAGAAGAAGAGGATGAGGAAGAAGAAGAGGAGGATGAGGAGGTAGAAGAAGAAGAGGATGAGGATGACGAAGAAGAGGATGAGGATGATGATGAAGAAAAAGAGGATGAGGAAGAAGAAGAAGAGGAAGAGGAGGAGGAGGATGAAGAAGAAGAGGATGAGATGATGAAGAAGAAGAGGATGAGGATGATGAAGAAGAAGAGGATGAGGATGAAAGAAGAGGATGAAGAAGAAGAGGATGAGGATGATGAAGAAGAAGAGGATGAAGAAGAAGAGGATGAGGATGAAGAAGAGGATGAGGATGAAGAAGAAGAGGATGAGGATGATGAAGAAGAAGAAGAGGATGAGGATGAAGAAGAAGAAGAAGAAGTAGGATGAAAATAAGAAGAATTCCAGTCCAGCAAAAAGTGTCTCTGCAGAGAGCTCCGCTATTTCTGACAGTTCTCTGACAGTTCTTTGACATTTACAGCGGTTGCAACAATGTATCTATTTGTTTCCGAATAAAAACATCTGTATCCTAAATGGAAACAAATAGATACAATGTTTCATCCGCTGTAAATGTGAAGGAACTGTCAGAGAACTGTCAGAAATAGCGGAGCTCTCTGCAGGGACACTTTTTGCCGGCTGTAGAAGGGATGAAAATCGGCCGATTTTTTTTACCATTGATGGTAACGTCGGCCGCTTGAACGACCGAATTTTCGTTTTTTAAAAGAAAAATCTGCCGTTTTTCTCCCCATCTATGGCCTGCATTACCCTTTTGGGTGAAGTTCCACTTTAAACAGTCCCAACTCAAGTGTATAAAATATTAGAAGGGTTGTTACATCAAAAATATTACTGAAGATGTATTTTTGCAATCCTCCAAACATAGTGCAATTGTTATTCAGTTTAGAATTTGTCCTGATGTCTAATGATTTAGTAAACATGATTTTTTTTTATGTGAATAGTTTCCATCGCCTGTTAATTATTCTTTGGCTAATGTCTGGATATATATGCATGAGAAATAGATATGCATTCTTTAACATTCCATAAAATGTATGGTTTATTAACTGCAACATTTTTTTTCAAAGTAGATTTAAACTCCAGCTGGATAACATATAGACTTGGTTAACATCTATGCAGCTCTGCATGCCATGTTTGCATGACAGCCCATTGACTGAATGGGCTGCAGTGCCTGCCTTTTCTGCAAGGGAAAGGTCCCTGCATCAATACAGCTGAATGGAAATTGCATGGTGCTTTTGTACCATGTGTTTTCATATGCAAAGAACCATACCACGTTTTTCAGTGTGTGGGGGTGCCATTAAGAGCTAATGTCGCTCCCCTTTGTTTTCTTTAAAGCAATGTGTTTTTTGTGCGGCTGTATGTGGGTGCAGAGATGTGTGTGACCTACACATATTCCTGCACCCGCACAGATTTGAGCCTAGCTTATGGACTCTTACTGGCTGCGGCAGCCCTTGCCATCCGTTTGTAAAGTGATCCAAAGTGGATTGCTTTTTAGAGGGCATTTGACAGATATTGCTTCCTCACAGAATGTTTTAACCCTGAAAAGGCTAAACCAGCATGCCACAACCATGTGCATTATATGGGGTTGCAGGGTGGTTGTGGCGTGACCCCATATACCTAAATTAGTCACATTCAGCGTCGGTGCCACCCACTGGTTGTAACATATGGTTTCATTTTTCCAATGGCCACAAAGCATTGCATGTGTGCAGCCCTGAGGGGCCCTTCTACATACACTTGCTTTAGCTTTGGCTGCACATCATGCTCAGGACTGATTTCCTGATAGAACCTCTTTTTTGGAGCTAATATGGATGAGCTCTGTGTGTCATTTATCACATATACAGGGCACATGGGTGGCAAAGGTCTATTTCTAGCAGTAACTCATTTAGGCAAGTCATATCGCCTCTTCATTCATGAGCAAGCTCAGCTTTTTGTTGGGACGACTTGAACTTAGCTTTTCACCAAATGGTTCATAAACTGTACATATGACACTTCATACATTGTCAATGCAGCATAAAGAAATACAGCTCCTATGTATCATACTCTAGAACCGTCAGCATTATCACCCTTCACAGCAAGATATAATTCACATTTTATTTAAAAAAACATGTTCCTGCTCAGGGACGAATTTCGGGTGCCTGTGTAATATTTATCTGGCATAGATTAATGAATATTAGTCATTTATTAAAAAATGCTATAGAAGTCAAAAGGCTAATATAGTTAGAACATTCACAATATACAAAAAGAAGCATATTTTAGTCTTCTACAGGGAAAATATGCCCACCCTCACAGTTATTAACTTTTGTATCACTTGACCCTCCCTTTTTCATTTTAGGCTCTAACAAGCAGGGCCTTCTTATTCCTCCCGTATTGAATTGTATTTTAACTTTACTGTCTGCCCTCATGTTGCTGCAAAAACTGTTGCCATCTATATAATAATAATGTATTTATTTGTACTTTATTATATCCATGCTTTTACAATATTGTAATGCTCTATTTTACTTTTTTTTCAATAGATACGAGTTTGGGCGCGGAAGGAAGTAATACAAAAGGGATATGCAAACTTTGCTTTGGCCATTGCAGGGCCAATGCTTTCATTTATGGAGGATTTTCTGAATGTCTCATATCCACTGCAGAAAACAGGTGAGCATGGTCCTTCATGTATTACCAGTAGATTATGATATAAGCCGTAATGTTTTTTAAATCAATTGCTATTGGCTGTCAGTTTATTGAAGCTGTGACATCTTGGGGTAGAGACAGTAAAGATTTGATGCTGGACAAATTTGGCACTAATAAGTATGCATTTTAGGGGTTAAAGTAATGTTAGGTTAAGGTTAGGGGGAGGATGGGGTTAAGTGTTAAAATTATGATCAAATAATAGTTTGCTGTGACGGTCCCCACTGATCCTTATTTTCCCTATTCTTACCTGCCTTTTTATCTTCTGGAATCCTGAATAAAGTGGTTGTAAAGTCAGTTTTTTTTACATGCATTCTCTGCATTATGGTAAAAAACCTTCCACTGTCTGAACCATTGGCTCCTGCTGCTGTCAGCAGGGGGGTGAGACCAAGCCTAGCTGTGTGTGTCCATGGACAAACACAGCCCAGCTTGGGAGTGTACCTGTCCAAGTGCCCCCATAGCAAGCTGTTTGCAAAGGGAGAGCTTAGAGAAGAAGAGGAGCGGGCAGTGCCAGCGGAGGACCCTAGAGGAGAAGGTTCAGGGCCACTCTGTGCAGTACTATTGCACAGAGCAGGTAAGTATAACATGTTTGTTATTTTATGACAAAATAACAGGTCCACTTGACAGCCCCCACTGATACTTAACTTCCTATACTTCCCTGCCAGCCTTTTCATCCCCTGGAGGTCTAAATTTAAGTGGTTCTAAAGGCAGAAGGTTTTTCACCTTAATGTATTCTCTGCATTAAGGTAAAAAAAAAAAAACCTTCCACTATTTGAGCCACTGGCTCCCACTGCTGTCAGCCAAATCCCGTGAAGAGGGAGCAGGGGGTGGGGCAATGTCCTACTGTGCGTGTCTATGGACAGACACAACCTGGCTTACCCTAACAATGTCCCCATATCTAGCTGTTTGCTATGGGAGTACTCAGAGAAGAAGAGGAATGAACAATTCTGGTGGGGGACCCCAAAAGAGGAGATTTGGGGCTGCTCTGTGCAGTAGCATTGCACAGAGCAGATAAGTATGACATATTTGTTATTTTAATGTAAAAGAAAATAAAAGTCTTTACAATTACTTTAAAAGCACTGTGTAAGCTGCATGACATTCTGTGTCTGGAGCAACACACTGACCTTCCCCTCACATTTCAGGGTTTTGATCTGCTCAGATGCCAAGCATTTTTTGGAGGAAGGTCTCCATACATGCTCCATACCCAGAACTAATGAGTATATCACAGGGCTGGACAGGCAAACAAAACTGCAGGAAAGCAGTGTAAATGTAAGCATCAGAAGAAGCAGGTAAGGGCTATGGAGAATCTGTCCCTTGTGTTGGTATGTGGACACCTAGAATGCAATCAGCTGCCATTGTGCTCTGATATGCTTCTGGTGTGTCCCTGCACCTTTAAGGAGGAATGTGTACTGTCCAGGTATACACGCCCTTCATTTATCTATTGCTATATATGCTCCAACATGGAGACTGTCGCAGACTAGACTTAGGACCACATTATACAGAGGGGTCTTGATGAGACAGTGTAGCTTTAAAACTTCTATTTTAATGCAAATTTTTAGACAGAGTTTTTTTTTTTTGCCGGCTAGCTTGAGTGTGCTGGGAAATACATTTTGTCTTGTTTAATCTGTCACTCTACTCGAATAGGCAAAATTACAGGTATGCTTTAAGTGCTAAGCTTAGTATGTTAAGGGGGGGGGGTACATGTTAAGGGTTAAACAGTAACTGTTAGGTTAAAGGTTAACGTTTGATGGGGATTTGGACATGTATTAGGTGCAGGCCAGATAATATTAGGATTTGTTAGGGGTAATGTTTAGAGGGGATTTGGACAAAAATGAAAGTGTATCTAAAGTCAAACTTGTTTTTTTTGGATAGGATGGTCAAGGGTTTGCTGTCGCTGTCCCCTTTAGAAAGATTCACCAACTCTAAATGACCTGGTGACTATTGTCACTGGAACACAACTTGAGGGAAAAATCCTAAATTTTAAGTTGTCATTAAAACAGAAGTAGAGGAAAAACCTTCCCATGGGAACACTTGTTCTGGTAACAGGTGATTTCCCCTTACTTCTTTTGCATCTGAACATCAGGAGGGTGGAAGTCAATGTAGGAGTAACCATTAGGATTATGTTGAAGCTTAGGGATAGATTTCACATTCAGTGTAAGACTGTACACATTTTTAGATTTTTAAATTTGACTCTAAAAGCCCCATTCTGAAAACTGTGCCAGACTTCTGTGGTGAAAATTGCACTGACACCTTTGTCTTATGTTTGTCTACCAAATTCCATATCACTAATGCCACACCAGCCTTCAGTTTCACTTTCAAACATTTCCAGCCAGAGATAGTGACGCACCCATCAACCCAAAGCATTGAGGACCTACAAATATAGTCCACACCTAGCCATAGCTCCCACTGTCATCCCCTGTGACAGAATGGACTTTACATTTTTTTGCTGCCTGCAGAGTATTCTTTTTAATCTATAAAAAATGTAAGGCACTGTGTATGTGTGTTTTAAATATAAAGAAGTAACTTCTGGCCCTGGACGTGTACGGTATCACATTGGTACTTGCAAGCATTGGATCAGGGATATTGGATAAAATAAGATGGTCTTCCAGTCATGCTGTTTAGGGAAATCGGAGAGACCTAATGTAATGTAAAGATGAACCTTGTCTTCTTTTCTTCTAGATTTTGTAGCAATGCCTGACCTTGGTGTTGGTGCAATGGAAAATTGGGGATTAATTACTTTTCAAGAAAGCTCATTGATGTATAACCCAAACCAAAAATTCAGCACTTCTAGAGCGTTGACTTCTCTGATTGTTGCTCATGAGATAGGACACCAGGCATGTGGTAAAATGTCCCATATCTTTTTTAATTATGCTGTTATGGAGTCTTAATAATGGATGGATGATGAATGACTGAAATAAAGCTGTAATGGTAGAATGTGATCATACATTGCCCGTGGATTGGTTCGGTCTAAAAATCTGGCAGAATGGCAATCAACATCCATCTGCAATATGAAGAAATCAATTCCCAAGCCAACTTTTGGCTTAAAAGATAAGTATGGCTTTTCAAAACAAAACAAACACATATACTTGCCTAGGTCTTAGAGGAGATGGGGGACAGATGCAGCATTAGATCAATGCTGCATCTGTCCCCCACCGCCTCTAAGACTGAAAATTGAGTGATCAAATAATGCTGATCGCTCAGTTCTCAGTCTTCAGTGAGCAGAGAACCGGTGACTGTGACTGGCTAAAATTAGCTGATGTTACTCAGCATGGCTAAGCTCTGGAGGAATCCTGACTTGGATGTTGGGATCCACCCAAATGCCAGAGCAGCAGCTGGTTCAGCCTGTCAGTGCGCTGATGAAAGCTTGAGCCAGCTGCTTCTGCCCCCTCCACAGCCTAGCGCCCCAGTCACTGGCTCACTGATCCCTTTGATTGGTCTTTGATTACTCAGTTCTCAGTCTTAGAGGAAGCAGGGGACAGATAAAATATCAGATCAATGCTGCATCCACCTAGATGAGTATGTGTGTTTGTTTTTTTGAAAAGTCATATGTCTCTTTTGATTGCTTTATCAGTAAAATTACACAGCAAGTTGAAATCTTTAGTAACTGCTGAGTTGAAATATGAGTAACTACACATAGTGTAGATATGGCTTATGAGCATTAATTTTATCAAGGTCACAGGAAGAAAATGTGTGAATCTGAAGATTATATGTTGAAAAGAAGGTATCTGGATTAGGAAATTTTGCCAATAAAGATGTGGCTTTGGCCAGACTTGTTTTAATATTAAAAGCTTGCATAACTATGGTTACCTACTATCCACAACAGCATTCTGTAAATGTAGTGCAGTCAAAAGAGATAGCCAGGAACATCAGAAGTAGATTTGGTTAGAGACATAAAAATAGAAAGGGTTATACAGTTAATTGTAAAGACTTAAAGTGGTTGTAAAGTCTAAACATTTTTAACTTAATGCATTCAGTACATTAAGGTAAAAAGACTTTCAGTTTGTGTATTGGCCCCTCACCCCCCTTATACTTACCTGAGTCTGATCTTGATCCAGTACTGTGTCCGTCTGCAGTGGCTCTCTCTTCTTCTCCCTGCGTTCACAGGCTTTCTGAGAGCAGTGGGAGCCATTGGTGTTGGACGGTGGACCCGAGAAGGGGGTGATCAGGGCAGGTATTGCACAGAGTAGGTAATTATAACATGTTTGTTATTGTAAAAGGAAAAAATTGACTTTACAAACACTTTAAACCTTCATCCATAATTTCATCAGATACATTAAATATTTACCATTGGTTCTAATATACTTAAAGTGAACTTGTATTTTACCCATGTAGGGTTAGAAAATAGGCTCATTTTAAAGGATACGTTCACCTTTAAAAAAATAAATAAATGCACATCTTTTTCCAGGCAAAAAATGTACATGTATTATTTTTTATTGGGAGCCTGTAAACCATCCACCTACAATCGGTGGATTGCTGCTGCAATGCAGAGTTCTTGCAGACTGTTACTGTAAGCTGTCTGCCCATACCTCGTACAGACAGAAAGCAAAAGCTGCAAAGAAAGCTGCAAAGGCTGATGGTACTTGTAGTTTCTCATTCACAGAATTCTATAAAAGAATGCAAGGGCAGATGGGCTGAGACCCACATGGACAAACCTTTTTTAAATTGAGACAGCAGGTGTGAGGAGAAGATCCCCAGCTTGCTGTCATAGTGGGGACTCGGCGGTATGGGGGCAGCTGCAGCAGTAACATGTTACATGTTACACCTGAATATAGAATGGGAGTAAGATGTGATACAGATACATTAGTTGTAATTCAAAAGCCATGCAAGGCACAAAAGGAAAAGGTTACAAAAAGTAGTGAAATTAAAAATACATCCATTACATGCATACATTAACTGAACATCGTATCACAGTTCCCAGTGCAGAAGGAACCAACTAACTGGGTATTACTTAACAAGATGGAAATCAAAACGATTAAAATAACAAAAAAACGATTCAGCATACATTGCCTGTAGATTTTCCATTTACAGTGGATATAAAAAGATTACACGCTTCTGTTAAAATGTCAGGTTTCTGTGATGTAAAAAAATGAGACAAAGATAAATAATTTCAGAACTTTTTCCACCTTTAATGTAACCTATAAACTGTACAACTCGGTTGAACAACAGACTGAAATCTTTAGGTGGAGGGAAGTAAAAATAAAAAACTAAAATATTATGGTTGCATAAGTGTGCACACCCTTAAACTAATACTTTGTTGAAGCACCTTTTGTTTTTATGACAGCACTGTCTTTTTGGGTATGAGGCTATTAGCATGGCACATCTTGACTTGGCAATATTTGCCCACTCTTCCTTGCAAAAACACTCCAAATCTGTCAGATTGCAAGAGCATATCCTGTGCACAGCCCTCTTCAGATCACCCCATAGATTTTGGATCGGATTCAGGTCTGGACTCTGGCTGAGCCATTCCAAAACTTGAATCTTCTTCTGGTGAAGCCATTCCTTTGTTGATTTGGATGTATGCTTTGGGTAGTTGTCATGCTGAAAGATGAAGTTCCTCTTCATGTTCAGCTTTCTAGTAGAAGCCTGAAGGTTTTGTGCCAATATTGACTGGTATGTGGAACTGTTCATAATTCTGTTTACTAAGGCCCCAGTGCCAGCTGAAGAAAAACAGCCCCAAAGCATGATGCTGCCACCACCATGTAGTGTTGTTTTTGTGTCAGACATATCTTTTGGAATTATGGCCAAAAGGTTCAACATTGGTTTCATCAGACCAGAACCCATTTTCCCACATGCTTTTGGGAGACTTCAGATTTGTTTATTCAAAATTCAGCCGAGCTTGGATAATTTTCTTCGTAAGAAAAGGCTTCCATCTTGACACTCTACCCCATAGCCCAGACATATGAAGAATACGGGAGATTGTTGTCACATGTACCACACAGCCAGTGCTTGCCAGATATTTCTGCAGCACCTTTAATGTTGCTGTAGGCCTCTTGGCAGCCTCCCACACCATTTTTCTTCTCGTCTTTTCATCAATTTTGGAGGGATGTCCAGTTCTTGGGAATGTCACTTTTGCGCCATATTTTCTCCACTTGATGATGACTGTCTTCACTGTGTTCCATGGTATATCTAATGCCTTGGAAATTCTTTTGTACCCTTCTCTGACTGATACCTTTTAACAATGAGATCCCTCTGATGCTTTGGAAGCTCTCAGTGGACCATGGCTTTTGCTGTAGGATGCGGCTAAGAAAAAGTCAGGAAAGACCTACTAGAATAGCTGAACTTTATTTGGGGTTAATCAGAGGCACTTTAAATGATGGCAGGTGTGCACTGACTCCTATTTAACATGATTTTGAATGTGATTGCTTAATTCTAAACACAGCTACATCCCCAGTTATAAGAGGGTGTGCACACTTATGCAACCTCATTTTTTTTTTATGTTTACTCCCCCCCTAAAAGATTTCAGTTTGTTTTTCAATTGAGTCGTGCAGTTTATAGGTCACATTTAAAGTGGAAAAAGTTCCGAAATTATTTAACTTTGTCTAATTTTTTTACATCACAGAAACCTGACATTTTAACAGGGGTATGTAGACTTTTTATATTCACTGTATATAGTAAAGAAACAATGATAGAAAATAGATTGTGCCATGTGCTTTTGTGCTGTTAATAAAGCAAGATTCTTCGAAGGGTATAACTGGTCATCTTTTGACTCAAAAATAAGGAATTCAGGGGGAGACACTTCACAAGTATCAGGAAGAGCTAACCACTCATCCCATTATCCTATCAAATATTAGCAGACTACTGCAATTTTAGCACTGGTGGTTCTAACCAGAGATCCAATAGGCATAGTGAAACTCCTTATGAAGGCCACTGTAAGGTGTGCAAGAAATCTTGCCACTGGTGTCCTTGAGAAATAAAAGAATCTGTTAGAATGTTTAATTTTGGGGGGGGGGGTGCATTGACCCTTAAGGCAATAAATTCACTTACCTTGTGATGGCAGCACATGATCATACAAGCCGTTGTCATTTCATGTTTTATTTCTAATCTAGTGGTTTGGAAACCTTGTTACCATGAAGTGGTGGAACGATATATGGCTTAATGAAGGGTTTGCCTCTTACATGGAATATGCAGGGGCTAGCCTTGCTGACCCCAAACTGAGACTGGTAGGTATCATTTTTTACTAAACTGAATTGCTTGTTCTCAAGATAGGACTTTTTTGTAAGCTAGATAGTGTGTTTTTTAAAGGATTCATTTTTTAGGGGTGGGGTAGATGTCCAATAAGCACAATGACATTACTATACATGATGCATTTACACTTTTATATGTAGTTACCTAGTGTTAGTCCTACTGTGTCCTCATTGGTATTATGTATCTATGCAGGAGGGTCTTACTTGACCTCCTACTTTTTTCAAAATGTATGATAAATTCATAAATGCATAATCCAGTCATATTAGGCAGGACAATACAGTGGACATGAAAGAAAGTCATAGCAGACTGGAAAATCAGGTGGCGCTGGGCATTCAGGTGTAGACAGCTCATTGTGGGATTCTCTAAAAATAGAAGGAACAGGTCTGATGCTACTTTTCACCTTCTAAATGTAGATTTTTGGGAAAAAATAATTAGTACACAATATGACACATGTCGATATTAGGTATCAAGTAGCCCTGCATACAGCTTAACCACTTGCCCTCCAGAGGATTTATACCCCTTCCTGACCAGGGCATTTTTTGCCATATGGCGCTGCATTACTTTAACTGACAATTGCGCAGTCATGCAACGTAGCACCCAAATTAAATTTATGTCCTATTTTCCCCACAAATAGAGCTTTCTTTCAGTGGTATTTGATCGCCTCTGCGTTTTTAATTTTTTGCGCTATAAACAATAAAACTACAACAATTTTGAAAAAAACACACAATATTTTTGACTTTTTGCTATAAAACATATCCAATAAAAAAATTTTAAAAATCAAATTTCGTCATAAATTTATTTATTTATTACAGGTACTTATATATCGCCATCAATTCACACAGCGCTTTACATATATATTGTACATTCACATCAGTCCCTAACCCTCAAGGGGTTTACAATCTAAGGTCCCTAGCTCACATTCATACATACACATACTAGGGACAATTTAGACAGGAGCCAATTAACCTACCAGCATGTCTTTGGAGTGTGGGAGGAAACCCGAGTACCCGGAGGAAACCCACACAGGCACAGGGAGATTTTTTTTTTATACTAGTAATGGCGGCAATCAACGACTTATAGTGGGACTGCGGGACTGTGATGGGTATTCTGACACTGGGGGGGAACTTACTAACTGCCACTGACATCCCAATGACACTAATACAGTGATCAGTGCTAATAAAAAGCATTGACACTGTGATAATGACACTGGGCAGGAAGAGGTTAACATCTGAGGCGATCAAAAGGTTAACTGTGTGCTGTGTGTTGTTTTACTATGTGTGCTGTGTGTGTTTTACTAGAGAAACATGCTGCTTTGTTTTGCTCTGCTATGCAGAGCAATACAAAGCAGCCTGTCAGTGCTGACAGGAGAGAGATCTGTTTTGTTTACACACAGACCTCTCCCCTGTCACTGTTCCATGGTGATCGCTGGGTGCCGGCGGGGAATCTGTGGCCAGGACCCGGTGATCGACAGCTGTGGCGCGGGGAGTTCAGAATGTGCACCCCCTACCTGGAGATGCAAAATCATGTATATATGCATGATTTTGCGAAGCCCTGCCGCCCTGTAGCAGTGGTTCTGCTATAGGGCGGCGGAGAACCGGTTAAAACAACATTTCATGTTCCTGATATGTCTGTTATACCATGTACTTGTATGAAAATGTTCTCTTTGTATTGCATTTGCATTCCTTTGTGTAGAATACCTGGTGATCTTGCCAGTTCTCCTGCTTTCCTACTAGGCATGAGAGTACATCTACCTGGTGTGGTCAGTTTTCTGGCTGTGCTGGGAGCACACTCTGCGTGTCCTCCAATGGTCAATACTTGTGCTGAAAAACCCAGCTGCACAGGCAATCACTAAGAAGATCAGTGTAATGATGTTTCTCCACCCTTAGCTGTCCATCCAATCTTTACACAGTTCAGCTACAAATCACAGACTTATCTGGCAGAACAGGAGACCTGCACCCAGTCAGACATAGGTATTTACACTATAATGAATCATTTAAGCAGTTCTGAACCCCAAAACCAAAATAAATTATATTGCAGCTTACCAGTTCTTAGATGTGATGGCTACAATACTTTTTTTTAGGCTTTACTTCCTTTATTGTCACCTGGTGATTGACAACGTTCTTTAACAGACTGCTCAGCAAAAAGTGGCAATTACAGGGTTAAGACAACTATATAAAACTGATAGGTGTGCTTCCAATGCTTAGCTTTTATTGATTTATGTAAAACCATTATCCCAAAAGAAAAACCTGTTTGGTGTAGCTGCCTATGACGTGTTACCTGGATTTTAGCTTTAATGTGTTAATCACATCTATCTATATCTGTTAATGCTTCTAACACTATTCTCTCCCCAGCAGGGGCGTCCCTAGGGATGGTGTCACCCGGTGCGATAACACTTGGTGACACTCCCTCCCAGGGGCAGACTGACCATTTGGAAACTTGGCACTACCCGAGGGCCCGGGGTCAGTAGGGGGCCCCATGAGATGCCCCTGGTACCTTTTTCATAGGCTTTTTTGAGTTTGGGCAAGGACACAGGGGCCCCATGATCCCCTATTGCCTGGGGGCCCCATGAGTTGTCAGTCTGCCCCTGCTCCCTCCAACGATCCCCACAGAATGGATTGGATCTGCGGATTGAGCATAATGGATTGGATTCCGATCCATTATGCTTAATCCGCAGATCCAATCCATCCTGCAAGTATCATTGGCTTGCTTTACAACTTACCTTTTCGTGGAGCGGGTCTGGTGTCACCCCATATAGGTTGCATGCCGACGATCCCCGCAGGATGGATCGGATCTGTGGATTGAGCATAATGGATCTGAGCCTGATCCATTATGCTCCCCAATCCGCGGATCCGATCCATCCTGCGGGGATCGTCGGCATGCAACCTATACGGGGTGACACCAGACCCGCTCCATGAAAAGGTAAGTTGTAAAGCAAGCCAACGATACTCACAGGATGGATCGGATCTGCGGATTGAGCATAATGGATCAGACTCCGATCCATTATGCTTAATCCGCAGATCCGATCCATCCTGCGGGGATCGTCAGCTTGCTTTACAACTTACCTTTTTGTGGAGCAGGTCCGGTGTCACCCCGTGCAGTAGGTGTCACCCGGTGTGGCGCGCACCCCCGCTCCTGCCTAGGGGATGCACCTGCTCCCCAGAATGACAAAGGTGCTATCCAGAGGCTTTTCCACTGTTCCTCCATCCAGAGTGGAGACACTTTAAAGCTGGCCATACACTGTTTTCTATTCAGCCAACAGATTCCTCCATCCATACAAATGAGGTGGATGGAGGAATTCCCCCTGCCAGAACATTGTATTCTGACAGTGGCATTCCAGAGCTGTCAGGATACACTAATCAGTTGCTGCAGCCACTGAAGGAGTTAGATTTTCCAACATGTCCCTTAGACAGAAGTCGATCAAAGTGCCAAATGCTAATAAAAAGTTAGTCAATCCCCGCTGAACTGGCCAAATTTCAATCAGTGTAGGGTCAGCTTAAGAAAGAAAATGTGTTTTGTGGTTTTATCACCAGGTGAAAATAAAAGGTAAAAAAAGCCTAAAAAAAAGAAAACTAATTCAGCCACCACATTTAAAGGGTAACTACACTTTTACATGGGAAAAAAATAGCAAATAAAAAAATAATATAGTGTATACATTTGCAAATTAAGTCATATTGTAATTGAGTGTGTTCAGACATTACCTTTCCTTTTCAATCTGCAGTGCTGTAATTTTCTGTAAGATGCAATGCAATATGGCTACCTGGAGGCATTCTGTACACAGATGGTGTACAGAACACCCCATGAAAATGTTGTTTCCTGCGTGATTGACTTACTGATTTTCCCAGAAGTCTGCCAAAAGAAAGAAGTCAAATTTTAGGTATCCCCTGTAACAAAAATTTCATTTTTTGGTGAGATACTCCTAAAGGGAAATGAGATTAAAGCAATGCAGACCTTGCCAATTTCCTCATTGGAGCCCTGCAGGTGCAGCAGCTGATTAATAATTAAGAAAACACTCCCGTACAGATTCACTGAGTACATGGACACAGAAAAACAAACAGCTTTCTTTTCAGAATAACAAAAGGTTGGAATCCGCAACAAAGTTTGTTATACTCCTTGCAATGTATGTAGATCACCGATAGGGGAATGTTTTTTCTCAACAAAAGTGGAGTCACTTTTAAAGCTGCAACATATTAAGTTATTGTTTTTGGGTTTAATACCACTTTATTGAAATTCAGAGCTGCATTAACCTGTGTCTTTTATATCTGCCTAGATTTCTGCTTTATTTAGATCCATTACTGGCCATTAAATGCAAAACTCTTGGTTTATTCAATGATACCATACCACAGAGGGTTTGTTAAATTCTTTCCTGCCTTGTTAACAGCTTATTTAGGAGAGCAAAAAATGCCCCTTAAATCCAAATAAATTCTGCTATTTTGTTATGTCTTCATGTCTTCCAAGAGATTTATGCCATAATGTACTAGTATATTAGAACATTATGGTACTTACCTGTCAAACGAAGCCCTCTAGCACTGGACTGGCACTGCTCCAGCTGATCCCAGACGTTTGCACCTTCCCCATCTTCTTCGAGGTTTGCTCTGTTCAGCCACATAAATGGCCAAGCCACAATGATGTCACTCCCGCACATGTGCATGGAAGTCTTCATCACAGCACAGATTAGTGTCGTTAATGTATGCTGAGCTGTACATACGTGGCTCAATGCACATTACTGCTGACAGAGAGAAGCATTAATGATAGAAGAGACCACTAGAGTCTTTTCTACTATAAATACCAAGCCTGTCAACATTTTCTAAAATTTCTATTTTAATTCCGCTTTAAGTTTTGCAAATGTGGAATTGATGGTTGAATTCTTTTTTGATGAAAAACAAAATTGCTGAATGATTATTCATGACTTTT